ATAATAATATTGTACATTATATTATATTACAAATTACATAATATTATGTATAACGTATAATATATAACATATACTATTAAAATATATTTATATTATATTACATTATATTACATATTTGTATATTTTATTAATGTAATTTGTATTATATGATATATATTTATAATATATATTAATGATATTCTATTATATATTTACATTTATATTATTAATATATATATATATATAATTTACAAATATTATATTATATATTATATTATGTATTATATATTATATATAATACAAATATCCATTAATAATACATATAAGATAATGTAATTTATTATAAACTATATATATATATATATATTATCAATCAGAATATCCAGAACTCATTCAAACATTCCAAAACAAAACATTCAACTTTCCAAAAACAGAAAACTTATTTTTTTCGGGGAACCTTATGAAAGAAATCTTTCAGGAAATCAAAGATGCCCTTATGTGATTAAACTCTTTATTCATTACGGGTGCCACTGGACGTGGACCCGACTCGTGACCTGACATCTAGACCAGACTTGGGTTCATGTATGTTTCAAAGAATTTGACCCGGCTAGTTGCGTCTGGGTCCAAAAGTGGACCCGAGCACTATTGGGGTCCGGGTCTAAATATTGAATCCGAACACTATTCGGGTCTAGGTCCATGAGGACCCGACCTGGAATAGTGTTATTTTATAAATAATATTTAATATATAATATTTTAATAAAATATTTTAATAAAATAAACTAAAATTTAAATAAATATATAATTATATTTTAATTATAATATTAAAGTAATACGTGTATATATTCAAGACAATATTTGAATATATATTTTTTATGTTTGGGTCATGGCCATTCGGGTCCAGTAGAATCCAATTGGGTGACCTGGACCCGTTGCCACCACTCTCATTCATGGCAAACCCAGTACATCAGTCTCTCAAGCACACTGGCCCCTTTGAATCTATCTCTCTCTCTCTCTTTCCATTAGATTTGAGCCTTTAAGTTTTTCACTTTAGGCAAACCGAGCAAATCCAACGTAGGAAAGATCCAAAGATGACAGAGAGAAGAAAGAGCGAGGGAAACTTGTGTGAAAGGCAAGACAGAGCAGAAGCAAAGTGAAAAGCAATGGCATTTCGGTTTGAGTGTTGAGTTGGTTTTAATGCGTTGCAAGGGAAAAAGGTAATCAATTGGACCAACCTCAAAACATTAAATCTATCTTTCGTCTTTGTTTAGTATCTAAAATTGCCCAAATTTATCATGCTCATTATTTATACTGAGAAACATTTAACATCTTTTTCTTGCAAAGTATTTTGTGGGGTCCCATCTTTATAAAATCACATCTTAAATCTCTCTAAGAGATGAAGTTTAAGGCCGGAAAATGTTGACCTTGTCAAATATTGATGTAAAAATAATTAGATTTCAAGCCTTAAAAGTAATAGATCCAAATTCCACATGGTCAACAATTTGATGGTTGAGGAGCTTTTACTATACTCAGAGCCGTACATTTTCTTATAGCAATTAGATAATCAATTTATATACGCCACATATACACTTACAGCACCATGAAACCCATCTCTACGTGACCATCAATCATTTAAATAGGTGGTCATCCAATGCAACACAATCCATAATTCATTTGCTTTTATATGAGAAAGATTTACATGCTCTCACAGTATCATATTGTACACTTGCTCCAACGGCCAACCATTGTGTTAAAGAAACTTATTTAAGGCCCCCCAAAATTTCAAATCATCTGTATTCATCTCCAAGATTAAACCTAATAACCAAATTAGAGCCTGAAAATTGCTCCAAACAAATAAGCAATTCCAGATTAAATCTAGACTGGTCATTCAAAGGACAAATGGACCGATGTTGCTCATTCTTCTTCACCAACTAAATTTCAATATTTTATTTTATGAAATTCTTCACGAGGTAATGTAGCGTGCTCCTGCCACAGCAAATTATACACTTGCTCCCATGCATCGAACACATAGTCAGGCAGACCCTTTTAATATAAAAATTTTTAAGGGAAATTTATCAAAATATGTATGACGTATGAACTATTCAACATTTTACTAGTATGCAACTCTTCCGGCTCGTGATGATGGTGTATTTTGATGGGTATTTTAAAATTAAACCTAAAGAAATAGGTAGAATGTTAAATAGTGAATCTCTCATGGGTATTTTAGATACATTTCCCATTTTTTTTTAATAAGATTGGGCTCACTTTGTGAACAATTTCAAGAAAGAAAAAAAAATGTGAAAAGATTTCATGCTTTATGGGAGCATACTGTCCATTTTCTAGCTTGTGGAAAACTCATGTAAATGATACTTTTTGGATCCCAATGTTCAAAAACGTAATCTTTATAATCCAATGGCTAACATCAAAGAAGAAAAAAAATTAAGTCGTACTCTCTACGAGCCTAAGAAAAAAAATGTCCTAAGATTGAATAGGATCTGTCCAATTTTTGGAGGGCAATATCTAGATGTTCGAGAACTCAAAATCGCTTTTAGTTTTTTATTTTTTTAAAATCATTATTTGATAGATCCCAAAATTTTGGACCAAAAAAAATCCGCGAAAGTAACTATTTTGTCCAAGGGAGTTGTTGTACAATATGCTCCCATACCATACGCACACAAAAAATATTTGGAGCTCTAAATTGCCCAAATGACCAGAGTCATCATCCAAGTGGCATGAACTTAACATTTCAATGGACCTAAGCTTGACCTGTCGGGTCCAAATTCTGGGTCCAGACCCCCGGTCTCAGTTGGGTCTACCCATCGGGTCCATGGTGGACCCAACCCAATTCCCACCCTTATTTGTTTAATTTATTTGTGTCATAACTCTCTAGAAACACTTGTACACAACAAGCACCTAAAGTTTCTATTCCCAATTAGCAACTTGGTCGTTTTTGGAATGTGAGGCAATTAGGAAACCAAGAAATTTCACTTTATTTATTTATACATTTATTTGTTTGTTTATGTGAAAAGCAAAAACTTAAAAGTGATGACAGTTCCCCATACGTAGAATGTATGGCCTAGATTTTCCAAAACAAAAGTTTATCCCCCCTCGTGGATCACCTCTCAAAATCTGGACCGTTGGTAATTCCCATGAGTGACACGAGAAAATGAGCAACGCTTCGAAACTAAATTATTCGAGCAACAAACTCATACTAATTTTTTATTATATATCTTGACCCGATCCCTTTTTAGCCCTAATCTATTTTCTATGTAATTTGGCTTTCTTCTTCTTCTTTTTTTTTTTTTTTTCAAGTGTTCATGAATAACAATAATATTTCTCAATGTTATCAGAACTTGGAACAATTGTTCTTTTGGATAGAATCGAATGCCTGAAAATACGTTTGTACTTCTAATTATGAAATTTAAAGTTTTATGCAAATCAAACATATTAATAAACGCCCAAAATTTTTTAGAATGGACAACCCAAATGGTTTGTTACAAGATGCAACTACTTTTAAGATTAAAAACATGTCTTTTTTTTTAATATCCATACGAGGTTAAGAAAATTAATTTGAATGTTTTTTAACTCCAAAAAAAAAACTTTTCTGGTGGACCTTTGAGTTGACACCTTATATAAACTTATTCCTTTCTCAATTGCCTAAAACAAAAAAATATGATTGTGGAAAAAAAAGAAGAATGAAATGAATAGAGGGGAGAGCTATGAACATGTAAATGAGACTTAAAGAGAACATATTTATAAGCGATTTTCTAAATTTTATTGGAAATATTTGAGTAGAAATGGGGAATCGTGGCCTAAATCTTTAGTGGTCTTATCCTAATTCACCCCGTCTCGAGCGATATCGAATCGGGTTGGCAATTTTATTACTAATGAAGATTAGTAGTCCCACCAATATTGGCCAAAAATTAAGAAAACATCAAATTCAATCAGCCAATCCCCCTCTTTCAATATATATATATATATATATATATGAAAATTGTTTCATGCAGGGTAGACCGTATATATAGTCATGCGGTCCAAAAAGTGTAAAGCATCCATCTTAAAGATGGATGCAAGTAAGTGTTCCATTTAAAAACAATGGAAACTAATAGCCCAAATGTTTTCTTATTAGAATTATTATTTCTCGTTTTTAAAATTGACTTATTTTTTAATATTCATGATCTCCATGTTAGAGATTACATATCTTTAAAAATTAAGTCAAAAAATCCATCTAAAAAATAGACTTATTAATATGCTCGCATTTCTATATATACGAGCTTGATCGCATAGAAACTGGGTCTATATTTGGTCACAACTTTATTTCATGTTTAAATTTTAATTTTTTTCTAAAAATTAAAATCACTTTAATTTTAGAGGTCCATTCTTTTAGAGAGGGAGGGATATCTTTATGGCTAGAAGAGAGAGATTATAAATTAGAATATTCTCCCAATTTTGAGAGAGAGAGAGGAACTATATCTCAAAATATTGAGATAAAGGAAACAAGAAAAATAAAAGGTGGCACTCCCTCAACATTAGGAGAGAGGAAATAAGCCCAATTTTTAGAGAGAGAAAGAGGGGGGAAACAAAAGAATAGAAGGAAAAAAGATTGGGTTGTTCAAAAATAAGAGTCCCGCCAATTTTCGCCAAAAGTGAGGGTCTGTGTATTTGAGCAATTTATCTCCTCGAAGTTTAAAAAATTTTCAAAAAAACAAAAGCTACGGAGCCGACAGAATGAGCCAGAGCCGATGAGAGAGAGAGGGAGAGCTAGAGAGAGAAAAAGAGCCTGAGATATGTAGAGAGAGAAAGAAAGAGAGTAGATAGCGAGGAGCAAGGAGAGAGAAAGAGGAGATAAGTAGAGAGAGAATAAGAGCAAGAGAGGATGAGATGAAGAGAGAGAAAGAAAGAGTGGAGAAGGAGAAAGAGAAAAGTAGGGAAACCAATAGAGGAAAGAGGTAGAGAGAGGAGAGAGAGGGAGGTAGAGAGAGAAAAGGAGAAAGAGTGAGAACGAGATGAGGAGAGAGAAAGTAGAGAGAGAAGGAAGAAGAGAAAAAAATAGTGGGCTCATGTGATTCACAATGGCCATGAACATGTTATGCCCATGCTAAAGATGATGAACCCATCATGACAAAAACGAAATAATACGGGCCTTTCTCCCCCATATGCAGAAGAGAGAGATCGTGAAGGCCAGAGAAAAAGTTGAAGAGAGAGAAACAGAGAGGTTGGTACTTGGGAGAGGGAGAAGTCAGGCGAGAAAGAGAGGGTAATCATAGCATACAAAAGCTTGAGTGAGAGAGAGAGAGATAGAGAGAGAGCGAGGAGCTTTTGGAGCTGGTGAGAGGAGTTTTAGAGAGAGAAAGGAGTCTTTGCAGGTGGGGGATACCTTCTTGTTGCCTGCCATGTGTTTGTGAATCTACATCAGAGAGAGATGTTCTAGAGAGAGAGGGGCTTTTTCAAGAAAGGTTGTGTGGGCTTCTTGCTAATCAGGTGCGTCTTGTGAAATCAAACCTGGTCTTGGAGAGAGAAAGGGGTTGTTTAGAGGGAGAAGGGGATATTTTGCAGGAGAAGCGGCTTTCTTCTTGCCCCCTCTGTGCGTCTGTGGAATACCCATCTCAGAGGGGGCGTTTTAGAGAGAGAAAGGACTTGTTTTTGCAGGTGATCTAGCTCTCTGAGTGCGTCTGTGAAATAACATTGGCGAAGGTGTTTTAGAGAGAGAGAGAGGATTTTTGGAGGTGAGAGAAAGCTTCATCTCCTTGCCCAACCAGTCCATTTAAGAAATCAATGCCCCACAAGGAAATAATTCTAACTGTGACCTGAGACAGAGAGGGCGTTTTAGAGAGAGAAAAGGTGGAGTTTTTACAGGTGGTTGTTTCTTGCCTGCCAAGTGATTCTCAGAGGACATTTTAGAGAGAGAAACAGGGGTTTTACAGGCGAGACACGCCGCCTTCTTAGCCACCAAGTGCCTTAGGGACATCAATCCCCATCTGAAGACACTGGATTTTAGAGAGAGAAAAACGTTTTCCTCTTTTCTTAGCGGCTCAGAAGTTGCTCCTCTTGTCCCACCAAGTGGTTTCTGGTAATCACTCCTCATTCTAGAGAGAGAAAGTGGGGTTTTTGCAGGTGGGAAGCGCCTCCTCGTTGCCCATCATCTTGGTAAAATCAATCATTCATATTAGAGAGAGGGCCTTGTAGAGAGAGAGAAAGATGATCTTTTAGAGAGAGAGGAGATCTTTTTTCAGTCTCTGAGAAATCCCCAAATCTCCAACTTTCTCTCTCGATGGCCTGCACCCACTCTCTCACCACTTAAACCACCCAAGGCTCGCACCCAAATGAACCCACTTCTCTCCATAGCGCAGCACCACCAAGCCCACCCCCCACACCCGGCTTGCGCACCCGCCCTTGAGCCCACCTCAGTCCTGGACCTTCGAAGCAGCCCGACCCCTGCCCCGCCGCTATGGGCCCAACAACAACCACCTCCCATGGAAGAATGGGACTCTCTCCTCCTGGACGAGCCCTCTCTCATGCGCTGGATCATGGGTGGTGAGATTGATGAAACTGGCAACCCCTCTTCTCTCTCTAGACCCCAATTCGCCTCTACCGAGCCTGCCCCTGTCGAGCCCGTGTACCCAATTGACCCCTTCTCCTTCCCCTCCATCGAGCCCACCGCCACCTTCTCAAGCCTCCCCTTTGTGGCCGCAAACAACCCCCATTTTGATCAATTCGGGTTCGAGAGAGAGCAGGTGTATTCGGGCCACCACCACCAGAGCGGCGGGCTGGTGGCCAATGATGAGTGGTGGCTCGAGCAGTTGGTTCGGGTGGCTCAGTCACTGGAGGGCGGCAACGTGGCCATGGCTCAGGCGATATTGGCGCGGCTCAATCACACCCTCCCACCCTCCGTGGGACGCCCCCACCAGCGAGCATTGTTTCAGTTCAAGGAGGCCCTCTGCGGGCTTCTCGGCCCACATGCACCGGCACCGATGCTGCCTCTCGATATCGTGCACAAGATCGGCGCGTACAAGGCCTTCTCTGAGGCGATACCATTGACCCAATTCTCCAATTTCACGGCAAACCAGGCCCTGCTTGAGGCCTTCGAGGGCGCACCTGCCGTGTGGGTGATCGACCTCGACATGGGTCTCGGCGGTCAGTGGGCCTCCCTCATGCAGGAGCTCGCGCATAGGCCTGGTGGCCCACCAGCCATGAGGCTCACTGCCATTGGCGAGCTCGGGTTCGAGATGGGTCTCGCCCGAGAGAACCTCCGCCACTTTGCCCGCGAGCTCGGCCTTGTATTCGAGTTCAACATAGCGTCTGGGCTCGAAGGCTTGTGTGCGAGCAATGGCGAGGCCATCGGCGTAATGGTCGGAGCTGGCATGCCACCCTCCAGCCCTGTGGCCCGGTCGGTGCGGCGGCTAGGGCCGCGCGTGGTCGCTGTGGTGGAGGCCGAGAATGGGAGGGCCGAGGCCAGTTTGTCACGGCGGTTAACGCGAGGGATACAGTACTACACTTCTCTGATGGAATCGTTGGAGGCCTCCGCCATCGGGAACGTGGTCGAGAGGGGGATTGAGAGGTTGATTATGAGGCCCGGGATAGAGGCATCGGTGGTCGGCGCCCCACGCAGCACATGCGGAACCTCGACCGCTTCGTGGCGAGAGGCCATGGCAGGTGCAGGGTTCAGCGTTGCCGGGTTGACGAATTTTACAGAGACACAGGCGCAGTGTTTGGTGGAGCGGACGCAGGTGCGGGGTTTCCATGTCGAGAAGAGGGGCGCCGCCCTGGTGCTCTGTTGGCAGAGGCGCCCTCTGGTGGCCGCCTCTGCGTGGCGCTGCTGTTGAGGCCATGGCCACCACCGCGTTGTGAGTTTGTTTCTCTTCTTTTCTGTCTCTCTCTACTCTGTTTCTGCCATTTTTTCTCTGTTCTCTATTTGTTTCTTCTTAATCTCTCTTACGTTCTCTCTCTTTCTGTCTCTGTTTCTGCCTCTATTCTCTGTTCCCTGTTCCTTTCTCTCCACTCTTTGATTCTCTCACCTAGTTTGTCTCTGTTTTCGAGCCTACTTTCTCTCTCATCAATTTGTGTTTGTCTTTCCAATCTAATTTCTCTCTCTAGACTTGTTTCTCTCTCTATCTCTAACATCTTCTCTTCATGCAGTTTCCTCCTGCTGCTGCTGCGAATTGTGTTCGGGATGTTCCCGGCTTTTCTCTCTCTCATTTTTGTTTTGAATTGTGCAAATTGGGATTCTTGGCCAGCCTTTCTCTCTCAATCTCTTTCGAATTCTGCCCCGTCTCTCTCTTCCAGACCAGTCGATTTTCTATCTGTACATGTCTCTTCTCTCCCCTAGTTTGTCTCTCTCTCTAACTTCTCTTTTCCTTTGTTTTATTCCTCTCTCTCTCTGTGTGGTGCCCTTTCCAGCCAACTTTCTCTCTCTTACTCTGTTTTGTTTCCCAGTCTTGTCACTCTCTTTGGTTTCAGCTCTCTGCAGTCTCTTTCTTGCTCGGTTTGCCATTGGTACAATATATGTATCTTTCTCTCTCTAAATCCTTTGGCCAGGACTCTCTTTACTTTCTCTCTCTCTCTCTAACCATTAAGTTGTCGATTCTCTCTCTCTCTCTAGCTAGGCTCAGTCATTTTGTAACTTCAATTGTGTTTTTCGGTTTAGTTTCTCTCTCTAGGCAACCATTTAGTGGTATTGGTTCTAGTTTCTCTCTCTAGACAGAGGCGTTGCTCTCTCTCTCTCTAGACTCCCGGCTGCTGCTTGTTTTCTCGGCCAGGCAGTGTGCTAAGCTTTCTCTCTCCTCCCTCACCGACTGTGCCACGTGCCTCTCTCCGGCCAGGTTATCGCACGTGTTATTGGGCAGTGTCCAACGGATGGCTGGCCTTCTTTTTTTGGATGGTTTGGACTAAAGGCACGTTTCACGTGGCCACCTCCGCTTTTTACTCCACATATGTGGTTGGACGGCCGGATTAAGACGTACTTCGGAGTTGGGGAATCTGGAACGTCTATTCGACCTTATTTAGTTGCTTGTGTTTCTTGTAAACCATTCCGAGGGAAAAAAAAAAAAAAAGCAAAATGGGGTAAAAAGATAACCGGTGAAATTGTAATGTTGGTCTTCTTTTTTTTTTCTTTTTTTGTGTTTACATGGGTGTAAATAATTATTTTTGGGGTAAGCCAAAAAAACAAAAAGAAAAAAAGAAAAAGACTTTAGGACAATGTATTGCCTTTTTTGTGTGGTTTTAAAATTTGTTTCCAATTTATCTTTTAGAGTTTTCTTTTTTAATAATTAGATTTTCTTTGTGATAAATTAAGGGAATGTGGAATTTGGAAATACATGTTTTTAGTTAGACCTAAGAACAGGTCTATAGGATAGCGGTGAGATAAGCTTTGCTCTTTGGTGTAGAATGTTGGGGGGACAAAAAACCATATATCTATAGAATGAGTGTAGCAAAGATGAAGATGTTGAGATTGATGAGTGGTAAGACAAGAAGGAATATAATTCACAATGAATCTATTTGAGAGAATTGAGGCGTAGCAACAATAGACGATTAAATGAAAGATAGTAGATTTAAGTGGGCTAGCCATGTGTGGTGTTGATCAAATATAGCATTTGTTAGGAGATGTGAATTAATTCAAGTGGAAAGATTTAAAAGAGCAAGATGTAGATTTAAAATAGCATGGTTGGAAGTAATTCGAAACGATATGTGGATTTATAGCCTCATTGAAGATATGGTTTTTAATAGAGTAGATTGGAGAACCAAGATTCATGTAGTCATTTTCAATTAATTAGGACAAGGCTAAAATGATGATGATGGTTGGATTTAAGAACAAAAAAGAAGGATTTAATGAAAAAAGAAAATATTTTTAAAAAAATATATAAAAAAAGGATTCTTAATGAAAATAGGTTATAAATTATTAGACTTGAACAAGCAGGGGTAAAATCATCTACTTGGGCTACTTAGTTTTGTGTAAAATGATATATTGCCATGGATTAAAAACTCACTTTTTTTTTAAAAAGAAAAGTTTATATAACTTGTTAACCCGAAGGTGCACTTTAAAAACTTAATAGAAAAGGTTGGTCTAATGTTGAAAAATTACGATGTACAGGGATGTCAAACAAAAGGACTTCCATTTCTGGAAATAATGCTTTTATGCATTATATATACCGTTTATTTTCAAGATTTTCATAAGTTAGTAGACATTTTGTATCTACACTTGGTTTGAAATTTTAAATTTCATAATTGGATTTGAAGACAAATTATAGGTCGTGGCAAGAAATCTTGACATTGAAACGTCTTTCTACACCATTTCGAAGTGCACATTACTTTGATTAATGACTTTTTAAGGCTGCAACCTTATGACACCACACCCATAAAAGATATTAAAAAAAAAAATAGAGATTCTTAACGTGAGAGATATTGCTACATTACTTGGAGTCACTCAATTTGAGTGCAATGACCAAGTTGTCTATTTTTGTTTATTGTTAGCAGCTTGTAATCTGCAATCCAATGAAAAAATTGGGTTCTGGTTCTTAAAGCCTGAATTCTAGAATCCTTGGGTTCATTAGTCATTTGACTAGTGCTGCCTTGGCCTAAAAAAGAAAAAAGGACTTCCATTTTTGGAAATAATGCATATTTTTAGTAGCTTGTAATGTGAGATTCCAATATGAAAAGGAAAAGTGCTTTATGCATTGGGGGATGCATAACCATTTTTGTGTCCCCTTTGGCACCGGACATCCATTCTAAAGAGGAAAGTGCTAACCCTATGAAAATAAATAGAAGTCTTATCATAAAGAAAAGGAGTTTGGAAAACCTTCAAATCGATCATCTCGATCATGATGATCATTATAGTTGTGACAAAAATAAGGATTTTAAGTATTAAAAATAATGTATATTATAACACATTATCAAGACTATTCATTTTTAAGTAGTATTTGCAAGATCAGTACCATTTTTTGAACTACAAATTTCATAATTGGCTGTGGAAATTGATTGTAGAGCTGTTTTAGATATTTCCCATGTCCAAAGTGTTATTTGGACATTATTTCGAGGTGAGGCTTTACTTCTTTTCTTCTTCCTTTTTTGTGTAAGACCTAGGCCTAACAAAAATTGAGTCCCTTAGGTGGTACCTCCCCAAAAAAAACCAATAGGCTCAAGTTTTTCCAAAAAAAATATTGTTTATTTCTAAATATTTTTTTTTTTTGGCATAGTAATGTCCCAATGTGAGAGAATATAGATACCTAAAACATTAAGTCCAAAATCCATCTGAAAAATGGATCATGAAGTGGGGATGCATATCTACATATGAGTACTAGAACTCATAAAAATCGTGCCCCTATAAAAAACAATGTTTCATGTTTGTGACCATGAACAAATATGGTAATTTAGCTCAACACGCTTAAGTGGGGCCACATTATGGAAATGTCTTGTGTCTCTTGACTTATTTAGGGTTATGAATCCTGATTATGGACAATTATGGTAGTTTTAGAAAAAATATTTTTAGTAGGTACTTGAGTGAGAATAGAACTACTCTAATGTTAAATTGGTTAATGCCTTAATAAGGTGGCTTGATCATTTTAATAATATTTTCTATTTTAATTAAAGAAAAATAATTGGTGAGGCACGCTTAAGCTGTAAAATTGAGGTGGTCCATTCCTATATAAGTTGGATGGTTGGATGATTAAGGGGCTCTAAAATATGCAACATCTATACTTTTGAGCCATAAGCACAAATTCAGAAAAAATTGGATTTAGAGCCCTAAAAATGTTTCATAATGAATGTCAACTCAACATGTAGATTAACTATTTTGATGAATTTTAAAGGAGATTGTATACTAGAAGGTTATTTAGCTTTGGTAGAAAAAATGTTATAATCATCTATAGCCATCAGATATCAAATTGGATAGTTTGGGATGTCATGAAGTTCAAAAATTTTCTTGTTGGATTTTGAGCTCAATTGGTGATAAACCCCCAATTGGCCCATTTCACATCTAATGGACCAACATTTTCTTTGTATCAAACGGTCACATTATACACCCTTATGTTTTAAATTAGTGTGAAATGCACCCTTTTAGAGCTTCAAATCTATTTCTTTTTAGACAAACAATCTATTTTCAAAAAATGGTTTTTAGATCCTTGCTCATAAAACGTTTGAATTTTGAAGTCAGGCAAGAGCTTCATGTTAACACCATCTTCGAAGGGTTTTTTTTTTTTGAGTCTGCTCATATGTATCATTTAAATTTATCTAGGGATATACAGTTGTTTAATTCTTCATCTAATTTGATAATTGGGAGCAAGCCAAGATAAACAAACCCAACATAATTTGTAAAATTACTCTTGACTCACCTTCAACCGATCAAGATCTACTAACCACTAGTCTTCTGATATATAATTATACATGAATTATATGTGCATGAAATGCTTCACATCAAATAATAGGATTATATACGACCATTTTCCTTTGGTATAAGAAGGTCACAGTCAATCGAAACCATATGATGTCAAACCCTAAAGTTTAGTGTATATTGCAAAAATCGATAAACTTTCTTTTAAACTTTGTGCTTATGTAGTGGAATATCCTCAAATATCTGATTTTAATATCTAATTTGAATAATCTTTTCCTCAAATTTATTGAATATGTCTGAGAGATGAGATATTTGAAAAAAATTTATATAAGGTGTCAACATTATATTGGAGAAGAATGATGCACCTTAAAACCTACAATTGATCATCTCGACTTCAAGATATATAGATATAGGAAAAATAAAAATTTGAAGTCTCAAAAAATAATGTATGTTATAACATATTACCTAGACACCGTCCATTTTCAAAATTTTGTGTTTCTATATTTGCTCAAACTACATCATTTTGTTGAGCTTTAAAATTTCATAATTTAAGATGAAAATAGATTTTGAGATCATCTCGGGGGTTTTAACACCGAAACTATAAATTTGAACAGGATGTGAAGGTGGTCCTTACTTTGATTTTTTATGGTTGACACCTTATGCAATGGCACCCATAAACTTTCCACATCCATTGCATGAAAACAAGAAGGGTAACTATTCAGCGGCACTTGATTTCCAACAATTTTTAGCCCCCATTCAACCATCAGATGTCAACAACAACGGCTAGAAAGGTGCTAGCAAACTGTGTGAAATCGAGCGGTAGCCAAAACTTTCATTGCTTGCTTTCCAAAATTACATCGCTTGCTTTCAATATCACTTCCCAACAATTTTTAGCCCCCGATCAACCGTCAGATGTCTACAACAAGGGATAGATAGGTGCTAGTAAACTGTTCGAAACCAAGTGATAGCCGATAATTTCAGCTTTCCGTGATACGTAAACTGTTATGCACTCGAAGCTTTCTGTAAAAAAAAATACCCTTCTCTCTCTAAAACTCTCTCTCATCGAAATTTTACATCTTCAAAAGAAGAGAGAGAGAGGCAGGAAAAGCGGGTAAAAAGAGTAAATTGAAGACGAAAGGGGAATTTGATAAGCCAAAAGATTCATCGGCGCCTGTGATTTTTGTTCGATCTTAATTCCATTTTCTCTGTTTCTCACTGAAGAAAATGGCTCTTCTCGGGCCTCAAGTTGCAGGCGAGGTAGGAAGAGGATGGAGCAGATTCTCTTTCCTTTTTGTATTAATTTGGTTTTAATTAACTGTAATTTTTAGTGAGAGAAAATCTGTTGATTTTGAGGGACATACGTGCTTTCATGTTGGATCTCGATTTTGCATATATGGAATCATCTTAGAGAAAGAAATCCTGTTCATTATGTAATTTTTTGTGAGTTTTTTCATTGTTTAGTTTAAGCTTGATGGTAATATGCTGATGAGTGAATATTTCTTGGTTACGTGTGATATCTAGGGTTCTTCATGTGTTACTTACTTTTGCTACGTCTGATTGCTGCTTCTTGTTGAGTGAATATTTGTCAATTCTGAAGCATTTTGAGGTTTTTTCCTGTATTCCGCTTATTGTCTGTGACTATGGCATTCTATTGAGATAATGTCTGTTAATTTTGTGCAAATTATGGGGTTTATGGTTAGTGGCCAATTGCATATTCACTGTGGTCGCAATCTTCTGAAATTCATGATTCTGAGTAGGTTGTTTTTTTCCCCCCTCCCTTTTGTAATTTGATGTGTTTTTGTTTTCTATGAGGACCTCTGGTCCTTCAAGGGATAACATTTTAGGAAAGCTTTTTAAGCTTTGAGTCGTGGACTGCTGATTCAATTGTTGCTACTATTGTTTTTTAGCATTAGGCAAACTTTGTATGTCTCTTACACACGTAATTTACATGCGTTTGGAGACATCTAGTAGTCTGTTTTGATCAAACAGTTGAGATTGATCCAACAATAATGATATACATTAATTACGACATGAAAAACATAATGGAAAAAATTTATATAAGGTTGCAACCTTAAATGTAGAATTACAGATGCGCCTCAAAAATCTATCAGAAAGGTTGTTTTAATGTTGAAAAACCATCTAATTGATCATCTCGACATTGAGATGTATGAATACATAAAAAAAAGAAGCTTTTGGATCCCTGAAATAGTATATCTTGCAACACATTATCTAGACCGTCCATTTTCAAGATTTTCATATGTTTATAGATCTAATTGATTTTAATCATTTTTGGAGTTTAAAAATTTATAATTAGATATGAAAATAAATTCTAAGATAATCCTAAGAATTGTTTTACAACAAAATTACATGTTATAATAAAATTTGGAGGTGCACCTTAATTGGATTGTTTAAGGGTGCAACCTTATAGAAACCGCACCCAAACATAATTGATGCCAGCTTATGACATTGTTCGCAGCTCACTCCCAATTGCTTGATCAAGCTGGGATGGTTCTGAGTCTTTAGACACATAAATTATATGTTTGTGGAGACACATCAGAGGTTTCCCCTTTGTGGCAGTGGAGTTTTCTTTCAGTCTCTTGTAACAATATTGGTTGTCAAATTTGATGCCCAATTATATTTATCTTATAGCAAAGCATCATAACAAAGCAAAGACTTATGGAAAAGAGAAAAGGGGAAAAGATGGGTTAAAGCAAAGTCATAAAATATCTTGGAGAAATTAAATCCTTTCCTACAAAGTAGTGTCTAAAATCTTAACTAAGAGAAGGGATATCCTAATGCAAGTTTATTTTGGATTTGTTGAATAGTGGCAAGTTTGGCTTGTTATAAAAAAGCTAATATTCATATGGAACCAAATATGAGAGCTGTAACATGTGAAATTTGATCTTTTTAGAGGCTATATAACTCTCTGTAGTACACTGATAGGAAGCTTAGTATGTCTTCTTAATATTATAATGAACTAGATTCCACCTCTCATTGTCCAGGGCTGTGATTCAAAACAAGGATTCGGGCCTGGAGCCCCAGTTACCCAGCATGACTTGGTCGAGTCGGAACAAGACTCAGCCAAGTCTGCAAAATACTAACAAAAGAATGTCAAAATAAGGTGAAACTCAGGCAAGTCCTTGTTTTTGAGACGGGACTTACTTGGGTCCCGAGCTGGCTGACTCAAGGGAATCCTAAGCAGCTTGGCGATTTTTGAAACACTAGTCTACGATGAGGGATTGCACTATCATCCCATCTTTGCAAGAACTTGTGTAACTACAGGCTTGTTGGCTAGGCTACCAAATTGAGCATATATTTCAAACCATGGTATATTTATGGAGAATAATAATGCAGTCTCTTGCAAAAGTGTGCAATTTAGGACCATAAGTAGAATATCAGGCAAAAATCACTGATGCTTGGGCATTCTTATAATGACTTGGGGTTATTTCTGGACCCATGTGACCACACTTTGTTGTGAAAGCACAATTTGCTTTGTAAGTTGAGTGCTATTTCCCTGAACTTTACCCTCAATGTGCTGCTTTCTTCCACTTTTAGCTGCTTAGGAAGCGTTGTCAGCTTCATGCACAGAGCCGGATAGCCTTGACTCCTTCTATTGAGCGGAAAATTAGTTAATCAGAAAATAAATTATTTTTTCCTTTTATTTATTTTTTTGGTAGAAAAAATTTATAAATTTCGGGGATCAGAATCATCATCATCCAAGCCTTATCCCAATTATTTGCGGTCGCTGTATGAATCATGTTCCTCCATACCCTTAGTAAGGCTAAAAGTCACTATATCTTTTCTCACTACTTCTATCTGTGTCTTTTTATGCCTTCCCCTTGCCCTGTTGGAGCCTTATAGTTGACCCAAATCGCACCTTCTAACTAGTGCTGTATTAGGTATCGAAATCATGATTATACTAAATACCAATTTTTGATGAAATGTGTTTCCTCTATTCTTTTTAACTTGTTTTCATGCATATTGAAGCCATCTCCTTCTTTTTTTGCTGTGGTTCCTTTTTTGAGTGACACGAATATTTATCGTTTTAACTGTTCTTGTAGGTTGGTTTGAGGTTGCTGCTCTGCCCTTTTGGTTCTAACATTGTTGTCCGGACAGCTTGGTGAGCTCACATTCATATGTTAGAATGCATAACCTTTGCTTTTCCTTTTATCCTTCATTGTGTAGGCCTGCTGACTGTAATGTTTCAGATGCCTTTGCGAGAATTTCCTTTTCTTAAGTCACTGATAAGTGATAACTGATAATTGCATACATTTTGATCTTACTTAAGGATTTATTTATCTTAACATTGCTGGCTATTAGTCAATGTGATATTAAAAATGGTTGATTAGGAACAATTTTTTCTCCACCATTTTTGGCATTTTTACATAAGTTGCGGCGTCTTTTCCTAATAATTGAATTTTGATTTCTCTGAGCATGTGATATGTTGTCATTTTGGTGTCATGTTCTCCTTTCATGAGTTGATGTGTGATTAAGTATTATATATTAATCAGAACACAGTTGGGTGCAAATTGAGATCTCACTTACTAATAGGTGTTGCACTATTTATGGATGGATATGCGTGTGGGGGTACTTACCCAATTTGCTTTTTAAAAACTTACCCAAAAAAAAAAAAGTGTGTGGGGGCATTTAAGTGTACTAAACTACTAATATATTTCTCTCCTTTTGTGAAAATGGTATGCTGAATCATAGATGTTCATTCTGAAACTTTGTCAACTTTGTAAGGGTGAGGCTAGATATCAGCCATTGCTTCAAAAAAAAAAAAAAAAAATTAAAGGTAGGCTAGGTAACAGCCAAGAGAACCTGGGCTATGTAAGCTTATTTGTCATCAGATTTCATTTGATTAAATGAGAATGAGATGCATGTTATGAAATGTTACTAGATATTAGGACTTAATGCAACTTACATCACTATGCCTTTATGGGCATGCACACTAACATTTTATGCGTGTGGATTTCTAAAACATTTGGAAACAAAGATCACGCTGACAATCTAGGGGAGATGGTCTGTGCAGGATATGATCCTTCTGGCATAGCAGCCCTTGTAGTAGCATGGGATCCTATTATCAATCTTAGTCAAATTCCTATCGATAATTTATCATCTCATTGCTGCCAATTGTTACTGTTTAGAACCTAAGTTTAGTTGCATACACTATAATACATGGTTGACTTCTTTGGTGACATATTGATGGTGGTAATATTGTACTGCTGCATAGAAAAAAGAACTGGTAAGGTCAATCTAATAAAAAAGAAACAAGTGACATATTTCTGTTCTGACCAGGAGACTTCTTGGATGATTGTACTTTTTTTTAGGAATTGTTGACATATTTCTATTCTGACCAGGAGACTTCTTGGATGATTGTACTCTTGGGCATGGCATTTCTTTAGTAATGTGAAACTATATAAAAATGCCTATGAGGTACACAATCTGCCCTTCCATTCAGGTTATTAATTAAATTTCTCCTATGCAGTTGTTCTGTGGGGATTGCTTTGCCTGTATACTCCACATTCAAGGCCATTGAGAACAAGGACCAAAAGGAGCAAGAAAAATGGCTTTTGTACTGGGCAGGTTTGAATCTTCCTGGCGTATTTGGATACTTGTTATTCCACGCATGTGTATACCCTTGAAATGATTTATCTTCTCAATGTGGAGGGGGATTTTCCATGTATTATTTCAGACCATTACCATTGTTCCTACGTTATCTACTTGCATCTTTTTTTTTTTTGAAATGTTGAGGATTACATATTACTTTCTCAACGTAAAATATATACAGGACTCAGACACAGTTATCGTGTAACTTCTTGTTTAAGTATAAGAAATTCAAAGGCTTTCTAGAGTGTAATTACATACGGAGGACTGTGGGGCATAGGATTGCATACTACTTTCTCAACATAAAACATATACACGAATTAGACACAGTTATCGTGTAACTTCTTATTTAAGTATAAGAACTTCAAAGGCTTCCTAGAGTGTAATTACATTCGGAGGACTGTGGGGCATATTTCGAGCCAGAAAGTTTCTGATGGCGAATAATGTCATAGAAATAATTACGAGTTGATTCCGCTTTGGAATCCCGATCCTACATCTAGGGAAGGGGATTTCGCTTTGCAATTTTTAAATTTTGGATTCTCGATCCTGTCTAATACGGATCAAGGTCCTGAGTTACATGAGATCCAAATTCCCTAGCATTACAGTATAGTATAGCAATGAGTATAGTAATATCCTACTATACTATAAAGTATAATATATAATATATAATATATAATATATAATATATAACGTATAATATATAATATATAATATATAATTGTACATAATAGATTTAAATACAGTAGCATATATTATAGTTGATGGACATCAAGAGCTGGGTGATTCCAAATTTTAATTTTATTTTTATAATTTCAAGGATGTGGTGTACGTTTATTTATTATGAGGGTTAATTTTCATATCTAACACTTAGTTTTTATTTTTTATTCTAGTTTTTTAGTACTCACTGGTCACTATTCATGGGTACTATTACAGATTCTGTTAACGGGTTGCTGTTCACTTGGGTATTTCTGAACTTTTTAATATTGTTTAGGGGTATTTTAGAGTCTTAACTTGTTTACTTGGATGTTAAGATAATTTTAGGGTTTTATAGATTTAAAAAGTTGGGACATCACATTATAGGATGCTTATGTTATTAGAATGAATTTTATTTTATGAAAGAAGAAAGTTCTTCTCTTGGCTTGATTTACAACCATGTTTTTTCTCCATTATTGTTGACTTTTACTTGTTTGAGGTTTGGAAAAAAAGTGGATTTAATTTTTCACCTTTCCTTCCTGCATCAAGTGGTATCACAGCTCGGTTCGAAGACGGTTAGAGATTCGTCGGCTGGTCTTGGGGTTCTTAGTTGTAGGAATGGAATATGATTCAATTGTGCAAGGAAATCAACAATTTGACAGATAGGGTAATTTGCAATTGTTGCACACGATTAGCAACAACGTGCCCTAAACAAAGAGGAATTCACAAGGATAGATCCAAATTATGAGAGTTTTTATGGAGATTGGTGCGAATTAGATTTCGTGTCTAAGTGGGAACGCAATGATGACGTGTCAAGTTATGTAGATGGATTTGATGCGAGAGGCTATCGACGGGAGCCCAATTTTGAATAAGAACAACAAGGATCCAATCTTCAATTGGATTCAATACTTTTTGAATCAATGGATGATCCTATGTTTGATAATGACCCTATTTTTTATAAAGAACCAGGTGATCTTATCTTTGATAGTGATCATATTTGTGATGAACCATTGGATGAAATGAAGAACTTGGAGTTCTCATCTATGACTAAGAATAAGTTGCAAGTGATGGTAATGGTCGTCGCAATGATAGTAATGACTATGATAGTGGTGGTGGTGAAGAGGTAAAAGGGGAGGCAATTGGTGGCCGCGACCGTAAAGTACTATTTTATTTCACCAATGTTAGGCTTGATATTTCCTGTTTCCAATTAGAGCATTCCGTTCCACAAAAGTTGTATCCTACAGCTGGGTATACCAAAATCCTCAGCAACTTACTTGAGAATATTTTTTAGGATATTTTGATCAAGTATATAACTCAGATTCTAGGATCAAGCGTCAATGTCAACGTGCAATATTTGGGTTGAGAAAGATGTTTTGTCTAGAGGAGGATTCGTATTAATCCATTTCAAAACTCATAGATGAGTTTTCTCCAACCAGGGGATAATGATGGAGGTCATGAGCTAGGTGATTCAAAAATTTAAATTTATTTTTTTTAATTTTATGGATGTGGGTGTATGTTATATTTATTTTTACTGAGGTTGATTTTTAGGAATTATAATGGGGGGCTAGTCTCCAACACTTAGTTTCTATTTTTTTAATGGGGGGCTAATCTCTAACACTTAGTTTTTATTTTTTTTGTATTTAGTTTTCTACTATTTACTGGTTACTATTCATGGGTGCTGTTCACATATACTATTCATGGGTACTGTTCATGGTTACTATTCACAGACACTGTTCCCAAGAGTATTTCTGAATATTTTAATATAGTTTAGGTGTATTTTAGGGTATTAAATTGTTTACTTGGATCTTAAGTTAATTTTAGGGTCTTATAGGCTTATAATATGTGGGGCGTCACAATATGGGATGCTTATGTTATTGGAATGAATTTTATTTTATGGAAGAAAAGTTTTTCTCGTGGCTTGATATACAATCATGCTTTTTCTACGTTATTGTTATTTTTTACTTGTTTGAGGTTCCCACTTACCTTCCTGCATCAATAGTATAGTATATAACATAGTATTGTAGTATAGAATAGTAGATCGGAAGTATAATATTGTATGATACTGTGGTTAATTATAATAGTATATACCCTACTACTACACCAGTTAAGTATCCCACGGGCTCGATTTTTAACGAGATGGAGCTCGGTCCTATATACCATACAATCGCAATTGAGTTTGGATGACCTCAACCACATATGGGGATCGAGATCCCTAGATTTTCGGGTGTACAAACCGAGATCCCTCCCGCAGGTAGCTTTTTGCTTGTATGATCTTGCAGTCTCAAGCCCAATCCTGAATCTAATTTGATTCTGATCCGGTAACTATGACATTTTGCAATTCGTACATGCAAGGGACTGATAACTAGTTGTTGAACAGTTTGTTTATGGATTTTGGAACTAGATCTCTTATTTCCTTGGTAGTGTTGTTCATGTATTGCTTGATGCAATCTGCCATAGGTCTTTTATAATTTTTATGACTTGTTTCTCTGTATTATATGGGTATTGAATAATGTTTTATTTTTCTACGTGTAGTTTATGGATCTTTCAGCCTTGTAGAAGCATTTGCAGACAAGATTCTCTATTGGTACATTTCTTTGCTTAGATATTTATGGACATGTTTATCATCAACTGTCTATGGCTGTAAATGTTGAAGGAATCATTTTTTTTGTTTTTCTTTTTCACAACATAAATGAAATCTTATAAATAAAACTCCTTATTTAGAACTTTCAATTGCTGTTTATGAGGAAACTTTTCTAAAATGTAATTATTCTTTATGAGAAGCGACGATGGATGTCTTCCTTTTTTTGATGTGTGAAAAGGGGTTATAAAACCTGGACTCAGAGCAAAAAGCTGGATTCTACCAAAGTAGTGCATAAGTTGGAACGGAGGTATAGCTTGAAATATTGAACTTGGTTTGGCGAAATATTGAACAAGGAATGAGGAAAATATGCAGTGGTTGAATGGCAATGCCCATATTCTCTACGAGTATGGGCCCTTCACCCTGCCGTAAATTCTCAACCTCGAATCAATTCATACTCTCATCCAAGTATCCGGCATCTGCTTGATCCCTATATACCTTCGTTTTCTCCTCCAAAAATCTCACAACTTTACCTGGCAACTTTAACATCGTCTTTTACAAACATAGTCTCTTTGTATCAAAATCTTATAATCTGACAGTGCACCTATTATTACCTTTCCCAAGAGGCCATGCATGTTGTGAGATAAAAAAGCCCTTTGTAAGGCTTACAAAACCTCACTCAACTACCTGTACTCTAGGGAAGCAATTGCAACCTCTTTTCCACAACAAATTAGCAATGGGCCTCACTCTTTGTGCTCTTGGGATGTCTCTGTCTCCCAGAAGGGAAATAGGATTTCTCCCTTCCTTGTGGTGGTTTTTGTCATTTTGTTTTCTCGTGGCGATTGTATTTCGATTAAAGATGTATGTGTTGGTTCATAGGCACAGGGTAGCATCAACTTTTGGAGTGGCATAATTTGCATGGCATAAGATTACTGTACTGTATGTTTTGGGGGCTTGCGATTAGTTTCTAGATTCATTTACTTACGGATTAATTTGAGTTTGAGTTGAAGTTTCACAAAATTTGCCTCTCTACTATTGCATTGAATTACCCTATTTACACAATGGTCCATTCATCTGGTGTGAGGTCGCGATTGCACCCTAGACCCTTAGCTCTACACCTCAGACTCGTGATTTAGAGCTCCTAGAAACCTCCAAGTTTGATGATCTATCATCATTGAAATTGATGGTCTATATCAGATTTTGATGTGTTCGTTGCTAGACCCATTTCCTTAGTTTCATGCATGCGGGCTGGGTGGAGTGTGTAGAACCCCTTGGCTATGGGACAATTTGCAAGGGACCCTCTTATATGGACTTGTGCTAGTTTGGCAAATTTAGCTCTCTCTCTTGCGAGTCAGTTCCTTAGACTGACCAATATAAGGGAATTGAGTACTTTTAGCCTTGACTGGCTTTGGGTGTGAGGCAAGGCTGGTGTGGCGTTGTGTGTGAACACTCATGTGGGCTAGTGGCTAAAGACCCTTGTTCCCTTAGGCAAGAGGCTTTGATGGATAGCTAAGTCAGCGGGACTTGGTGTACCGACTGGCTAAGGCTTGGTTAGTTAGACAATGGGTAGCTGAACTTGATGGGACATGAGCATGGACGATGTGCAAGAGTTGGCTGACCAAACATCTACTAGGTAGGTATTTTAACCATTATGGTCTAGTGATGGACTCGAATCTGAAATGTTTAATTGTCCCATATATATGTGGGTGTTTTTACTTCTCTTGCCCTTGTGGGCCCGTAGCGGCATACTCGGATTCTCATGTTTGTTCCTTCTGCTTGCGATTTTTTTCTCGATTTTTATTAAGATACAAGCTTCCAAAACACAACCCTTCTTAAAAACGGTCTTATCCCTTCCTAAAACAACGTCATTCTTTTAGCAACCTAATCTACTCCTACCAATAAAGAAACAACCTAATCTCTTATTTCTTTATGCAAAGAAAAATATGGACCTACTGAAAAAATTATGGACCTACTAAAAAAAAGTACAAAGCTACCAAATAAAACTTATTAAAAATAAAGAGAAAGAAAAAAATAAACTAAAATAGAAATACTAATTTATCACTACTTCTTCCGACCGCGATCCGATAGATGTAGTTGAGATTATCGAGTTGGATTTTTTTTGGAGCTATCGGATCATGGTCGGAAGAAGTAGCAATAAAATAGTTTTTTTATTATTTTAATTTATTTTTATTTCTTTCTCTTCCAATAAGTCTTATTTGGTAACTCCATACTTTTTTTTCGTAGGTCCGTGCTTTTTTTAGTAGGTCTGTGTTTTTCTTTGTATAAAGAAATAAGAGATTAGGTCGATTCTTTTATTGGTAGGAGTGGATTAGGCTGTTAAAATGATGAAGTTGTTTTAGGAAGGGATAAAGCTGTTTTTAGGAAGGGTTGTGTTTTGTAAGCTTGTATCTTAATAAAAGATAAGGACATGCATGTTAATAGAAAATAAGGAGCGTGTTTGTAAGGGAAAATCTTTTGAGGAAGGGAAACATAAAAGACAAGGTGGGGCGTGCAATGTAAAGGACAACTTTTTGTGAATGAAAACGAGAGTTAGTTTGTATAGAGAGAGAGCCCTTTGTGGGTGTTTTTTCTTCTCTTGGGCTTGTGGGTCCGTAGCAAAATACTCGGATTCGTTGTTTGTTCCTTTCGCTTGTGATTTCCTTATCGATTTTTATTTCTCTCTCTAAAATGCGGTCATTTGCCAGGTGTTAGTTCTTGGTAAATTTATATTGCGTCAAGTGGTATTGGAGTCTAGTCGATTCTTGTGAATTGTGGTATTCATCGATAGTCATTATGGCACGTAGACATAGTCTATGGCAGGGTATTGGAAATGAGCCCAGTCGAAGAGAATGAGACCTGTGAGATTTCTGAAATAAAGAGATAAAAAATTTTTAAAGGCAAGTAAAGGAGTTGACTTAGCGCTTGGTGCAAAATCTGGCCCCGACAAACTATGATGACGGTAGTGAGTCAGATGCTATGTTTGAGAGCTTGTTCCTTTCGCACGCTCTGCGTTGGAACCTCATGGTCGGCAGAGTGATCTAGTCAAGTTTGATTAAGAACTAGGTTTGGATCTTCATTTGGCATTATCATTCCAAAGAGATCTCATCAAAGATGAAGGTCCTATATTTGATGAAGAGCAATATGAAAGGAGAGAAGTTGTCCTTGAGGTGGTAAGGATATCTAATGTTCTCATTAATGGAGAGATGAAGAATCAAGATATTGACTTGAACCTAGAAGAAATGGAGCCTATGAAAATATTTGATGAAGAGAAAGGGGAAGACCTCCAAGGAGAATCAATAGGTGAATTTGGTTCAACAACTGAATCTAGTTTTTATCTAAAAGATGCATACGTGATGTGCCCTAAGGTTAAGTTTGAGCAATTTCAACAAGTTTATGTGGCTAAAAAATCAACATACAACGCCCCCTTCTTTGAGGGTTTATCATTTTCAATGCACAATTGTTATGTTCTGATTAGTGCAGTAACCCACAGATCTTAGGATCGTGTTTACAATATTCGGGTTGAAGAAGGATGTGATACTAATGCAAATTTCATCTTAGCGCATTTTAACTTGAGGATGAGTTTTCTCCAACCAGGGGAGAATGATGCAGTCGAGATTATCGAGCTGGATTTTTTTGAAGCTATCAGATCGCGGTTGGAAGAAGTAGCGATAAATTAGTATTTTAATTTTAATTTTTTATTTCTTTCTCTTTATTTTTAATCAGTCTTATTTGGTAGGTTCGTACTTTTTTTGGTAGGTCCGTATTTTTCTTTGTATAAAGAAATAACAGATTAGGTTATTTCCTTTATTGATAGGAGTAGATTAGGTTATGAAAAGGATGAAGTTGTTTTAGGAAGGGATAAGGCCGTTTTTAGGAAGCGTTGTGTTTTGGAAGCTTGCATCTTAATAAAAGATAAGGACATGCATCTTATAGAGTGTGTTTATAAGGAGAAATCTTTTTAGAGTAAGGGAAGTTTAAAAGAGAACGTGGGGTGTACAGGACGGCCTTTTGTGAATGAAAAATAGAGTTATTTTGTAGAGAGAGAGAGAAAACCCTTTGTGGGTGTTTTTTTTCTCTTGTGCTCATGGTCTTGTAGCGGAATACTTAGATTCGCACGATTATGCCTTCTGCTTGTGATTTCATTCTTGATTTTTCTCTCTCTAAAATGTGGTTATTTTGCCAGGTGGTAGTCGCCAATAGATTTATACTGCATCAGGATTGGTGCACCAACTGGCTAATGCTTGGTTAGTTAGACAATGGTTAGCTGCACTTGATGGGACATGGGCATGGACGATGTGCAAGAGGTGGATGACCAGATGTCTATTAGGTAGGTGTTTTGACCATTATGGTGTAGTGATGGATTTGAATCTAAAATGTTTAAATGTCCCATACGTGGGCTTGTATAACTGCCATAGGCCATGTGAGAGTTGGGTGAGTGGACATGTAGTGGGCTGTAAGGGAGCAGTAATGGCCACATAATGGCGATTGGTGTTTGAGTTGGCACATGCATGGGCAGTAATGATCCATGCAGTAGGTTGACTAGAACCTTAAAACCCCTTAATGACGCATGTGGGTAGGCATTAAAGGGTTGGGTGTAGGCTGGTGTAACTTCCACACCAATTGGTGGATAGTAATAAACTGCATGCCTTAATGGCCGAATAAGGGTGTGTTTGGGGGTGCATACTCAATCTATGTAAACTTCTTGCCCGAACCCATGAGAGGCATCCATGGCTGTATATGACCAACTATGTAGAGTGAATGAAGATGGTTTGAGGCCCTTTCTATAACTTGTACAGGCCTTTTGTGATCATTTGCTCCATTCCTCTTGTGGGAGTTTGTGGAAGGTTGCCCTTGCCTTAATTTTGGTTGGACTTCGACTTCGACTTCATGCCACATTTTGTCTAATTGAAAAATTAGTACCTGTTATGGTTGATACTAGATCATGGTTTGTTTAACAACGACTGGTGGTTCCTTGGCTGAAATTTTGGATCGTGTCAACCACCTCG